TGTGAGCCTGCTGGTGTCCTCTGTGCCTGCTTGTCCCGGGCGCTTGCTGTGAAAGCCAGGGCTAAGGCTGAGGGGCAAAAAGCCTGCAGAAGGGTGAAGAGAAGAGCGGTAGAGCAGACAGGAACTGAAAGGAACTGTGAGTCCCCAGCTCCTCCCTCCCACCCACTGGGGGGGTCTCAGCAGCCAAGGCGTTTTTTGTGCACGGCTTTTGTCTGCTGTACTTGATGTGAAGCCTGCTGGTGGCTGATTTGTGCTAATGCAGGATCCAAAGGTGAATAAGACTTAGCACCCTGCTCAAAGAGATCCATGGTTGGATCTAATGCCTTTAGCTACATTATTTAACCCCTTGGGACTCTCTGGGAAGAAACTCTTACTAACCCCCTTTTACACATGAGCTGCCTGAAAGGGAGAGGTCAAGAATCTTGCCCCATTTCACACAGCCCCCAGGTCACAAACTTGCCATCGGATTATAACTTTAAAAAATATTTTGTTGTTTTTTTGAGACAGGATCTCATCACGAAGTTCAGGCTGACGTTGAGCTCATTATAGCTCAGACTGGTGAACTTACAGCAGTCCTCCTGCCTCAGCTTTCTCAGTGCTGGGCGTAAGCATGAACCATCATGCCTGGCTTTCTAAAAATGTTTCAAGCCTCACTTTTCCCTAGTGTGTACTGGAGATAAGCCCTGCACCTTACCAGCTTGGTAAGAGATTAAATGGCGCGAGCAGAAGGGGTGAGAGAAATGGCATCATTATCAGCAGGGCATTTCCGTGAAAGAAGGGAGCTGCTGTGGGCCCAGCCCCTGGAGCCAGCATGAAGGAAAGAGCCTTGGGCAAGCCTTCTTATTTGTTTTTTGTTGGCAGTGAGGATAAATGTTGAACCCAGGGATTTGAGCAGACACACGCTCTACCACTGAGTTAATTTCCAGCCCCTCAGGCAATGTTTTGCTGCTCACAGAGAAGGTGATATTTGTGCTGGACCTTGGAGGAGTTGTACAAATTCAGAGGTGGAGACAAGAAAGACCACTGAGAGGAAAAGCCTATCAAGTCTGTTTCTTCTTTCTGAACAGCTCTGTAAGAGAAGAGTAAAGAAAATTGTTCTACAATGACTGCAGGCCCTGGAGGGCACTTAGCATGCAGACAGCCCTGGGTTCAATCTCCAACACCAGAAGAGATAAAAAAAAAAGATTCTGGATCAGCCAGGGAGAGCACTGAGGCTGCAGGGCCCAGAGGACTTCAGATATGGGACCTGGATGTGAGTTGCAAGGCGCTGGGCTCTTGCTGGGAAATAAACAATTGTAAATGCAGTAGCTCTCAACCTTGACAGCAGATAAGAACAACCTGGGCTCTTTAAAAAAGCAGAGCCTGGGGCTGGGGATTTAGCTCAGTGGTTCCACTGCCTGCCTCACAAGTGCAAGGTCCTGAGTTCAATCTCTCGTACCAAAAAAAAAAAAAAGCTGAGCCTCAGCCAGGGCACAGTGGTGCATGCCTATAATCTCAGAACTTGGAGGCTAAGGCAGGATGACCACAAGATCATCTTAGCGAGGTCCTGCCTCAGAAAATTTAAAAAGGACTGGAGATGTAACTTGGTGAAAAGGTCTTGGGTTTAATCCTCACTACTACAAGAAAAAAAAGGCTGAACTTCACCCTGGAAATTCTAACTAAAATAACCCAGGGCACAGCCTGCGCATGGTTTTTATTTTATTTTTGGCACTGGTGTTGGGGTACATGTTAGGCAAACATTCTATCACTAAACTGTACCCCTCTGCCCTGTTGTATTGTTAAAAGGTCCCCAGGATGGTTCTAATGTGCAGTCATGGCTGAGAACCTCAGAATAAACCAACAGCAGCAAAGGAGAATGTCTGCTGCAACAGAAAACCTGCAACCATTCAACTGTTTTTAAAAAGCTGCATGGTAATCCCGGCTGTAATCCCAGCACTCAGGAAGCTGGGCCAGGAAGATTGCTGTGAGCTCAAGGTCAGCCTGTGCTACACAGGCCAGCCTGAATTACAGAACAGGAACCTGTCTCACCCCCCTGCCACGCCCCAAAGCCAATTTTCTACGATTCCATTTAAATACTATGGGCCAATAAAGAGGAAGTCACTGGCTTGCACTGAGTTGAGTGGCCTTCCCACAAGTACTTTGTTAGTGGACAAGGAAAATCTGAGGTACACTAAGAATCCAGCCGGGCGTGGTGGTGCACACCTGTAATCCCCAGCACTTGGGAGGCTGAGGCAGGAAGATCTCCACAAATTTGAGGCCAGTCTGTGCTACATAGAGAATTTAAGGCCAGCCTAAACTACATGGTGAGACCTGTCTTAAAAAAAAAAAAGAATCTGGATGACACTATATACAATATGTGAAAAGGATAGAAGATTTACTAGCTACACCATATAGCTAGTAAATGATCTATATGTATATAAATATATGATCTCACCTGCTTAATGCTAAAACACATGTAGGATACAGTGCAGAGTATTTGACATAGAGGAGATGGGACAGATTCCTACAACCTGGTGCCGACGCAGCTGGTGGAAGACAGGACCACCTTCCCTTCCAGCCTTTCCTACGGTGACTTTCACTCTCCCTTGACCTGTCTCCCCTCTCCACACCCCTCCCCAACAGGTCCTGGCACAAATCAACTGGGGGATGGTTTGAGTCTCAGGGCCTCCCTCTCCTGCCCAATGCACTTCCCACTGCTCTAGCCAGAAGTTGGCCCTGCCCAAACCCTCTGCCTCATTACCAGAAGAAGGTGCTAAAGCTGGCCTGGCTGCCCAGTATGCCCCTGAGTAAGGACCTCATAAGAGACTTCCAAGCCTTGCTGGATGATCTCGTTGCAGCGCCCCTCCACCATCTGTCCACGCACAGCTCAGCCAAGCCTCAGGGAGGAAGGGGAGAAGAAGGCCTGGACACATCTAGAAGAGGCTGCAGATAGTGAAGATCACAGCAAGCACCCATGCTCCCAGGTCCCGTGTTCCCAGCCCATGTTCCTTCAGCAGGAAGCCTCGGGCAGCCGTGGGACTCTGGCTTCTGTCAAACAGCTTCTCCACCATCTTCCCAAGCTCGCATCACCTTTGTACCCTGCACTCCTGAAGATGCTACTGAAAATCTCAGTTTTTCTATTTCTTCCTCAGAGGGTTCTCCCAGAAGGTGGGAGGACTAGGGCCAGGAGGGTGGATAAGGCAGCAGGACAGCAGAGGAAGAGAGAGAGAGAGAGAGAGAGGAGAGAGAGAGAAATTTGGGAAGATGAGACTCCCCTCTCACTGCCCATTTGGAGAGAGCCTGGCATTGCTGAGCCAGGGGATCATCCCTGAGCTCACCCTCCCTGGACCATCTGCTGCCTGTATGGAAGGCAGATGCTGTGCTTGGGTACAGGTCCCCTGCAGGGACTCAGGAGCAGAGTTAGGCCTGGCTAGTTCTGGAAGGCAGGAGGACGGGACAGTCAGGTCTGGGGAGGGTCAGCCAGGTCTCTGGAGAGCACAGGAGTAGAATGAAGTAGAGACTCGGGGGAAGCCAGAGTGGTCATCCCGGAGCATGACGAGGGCCTGGGCCCTGTGCTGCAGTGCACTCAAGGCACCTCAGCTTTTCCCATGGGGGAGTCAGAGAAGCCTGCCGTGGAGGCAGCAAAGGGCAGCTGTCAGGAGGGAGCTGGCCCTGCTTGGAGAGCACTGAGTAGTGGATGTCGAGCCCCACTTCCCCTCTCTGTGTGTGGGTGGCCTGCCCAGCTGGCTTCTCTTGGCCTCCTGCCCACTGGCCTCTCTGTCTCCACCTTGTTCAAGCCCCATCCCACAGGCCCCAGGGAATCACTGCACCACAAGGTTTGGGCATCGGTTTCACCCCTAACCACCTGTGTGACCTTCGGGAAAGGCACCGTTCCCCTCTAGCTTTAAGGTTCCTCATCTGCTCAGTGGGAGTCACTGGGCTTTAAATAAGTGGGATAAATAAAACAAGAAAGTTCTGCGAAGTGTCTGGCACACTGCAGGCCTTCCCTGGATGAAGCTATCAGTACTGCTCATAGAATGAAAATGATACATAGGTTATTGTTCATTCATAGAAAGGAGTAGAGTACTGAGGTGCTGCAATATGAGTGAAAAGCGGAACTGCTGTGGAGCGAAAGAAGGAGACACAGGGCTGGGGATGTAGCTCAGTGGTCAGTGCCTGCCTTGAAAGTGCAAGGCCCTGAGTTCAATTCTTGGTACAGAAAAAAAAAAAGAGAAGGAGACACAAAGGCAGTGTAGCGCAGTATGATTCTAGCTGTACGAGATCCCTTGAAAAGGCAAGTTCAGAGACTGGAAGTAGAGAAGTCACCAGGGGCTTGGAGGAAAGGATGGTGGGAGTTATTTAGAAAGAGTTTCTGCTGTGGATGATGATGAAAAAGTTCTAGAACTAGATAGTGGTGATGACAGCACAATATTGTAAATGCTCTCTTTTTTTTGAGACAGGGTCTCACTTTATAGTGCAGGCTGTCCTTGAACTCACTATGTAGCCCAGGCTGGCCTTGAACTTGCAACGATCCTCCTGCCTCAGCCTCCCATGTTCTGGGATTATAGCCATGCACCACCATGC